GAGACAATTGTTTGTGCGCTGGGAGAGGGGCGGCAGACGGAAGTTTATTTCGTTAAGATACTGATTGCTTGTGATGCCATTCCAGCTGAGATGAGAAACTGTCAGAGCAAAGCGTATATGTAGTTGCCATCTAAGTTTTCATTGAAAATAACGAGCTGTCTATAAAGATAACAGCACAAGTTTGTTTCGTATATGCCTCAACAGTCTGCGCACATTACGAATACCACGCAAAGACATAGGACATAGGACAAGGAAGCAAAATTATCTAGTTAGTATATCTATAGGAATGACAATAATGTGGAAAGTTTCTCCAGAAAGTGCGCGAGCTTAAGACCTCAACATATGTGCATCATGAATAACTAAATCATCAGCATCGACAATCAAAGCAGAGACAGTTACGAATACTACTCAAAGAGGAATGGATAGGAGTATGTCAAGGAATGCAAATTTAACATGTGAACATACAACTAAAAGAACCCGATTTATAGGTCGATAATTTAGAAGTCAATTCAGTCACGTTTACGAATAGCCCACAAAGAGGAATCAATATGTATATACAATAGAGTACTAAACATTATGTGAGCTAACGAATTTAACATGCAACTATCGAAATATGTATATCGGTAACGATAAAAGTCATCGCTTTAAAATTTAATTAACGTTTACGAATGCCACTCAAAGAGAAATCGATCAAACTGTTTGATATGAGCCCACAATCATTGAGGTATTTACAAGTATAAGATCTTTATTGATATTGATTATATCAACAGTATATAGCGATACAGACGTTTACGAATGCCACTTACAGAGAAATCGATTAAAGTGTTTCCGAATGCGAACTTAAGACATTTGCACACATTTAGCACTCTGTGCATTGCTGAAAACTTAATTATAATGCGATGATGTGGTAAACATTTAGCAAATTGAATAAGTCCCAAATCATAACATGCCTGGGCACAGAAACAGTCACAGCGTGCAGGAAGAAGAGAGGAGCGAGTGGGAGTGGGAGAAGGAGACAAGGTATAACAGCAAATATTCAGAGACGCGTAGAGCTGAAGCACAGGCACAACTTGTGCTCCTCAGATAATTTGAAGTGAACACACAAAGTAATTATGAAAACCACTTGCAAATACAAGAGACTGACACACACACACACACACACACGGTGAGTGAACATATTTACTCATGTAAGTGAATGTCTGGCAATGGGGAACCAGGGACTGGCCGGGCCAACAAGTTTGCCCCGACTCGCAGCTCGTGCGAGTCATTACAAGTTACGCTAATCAAGTTGAACGTGCGCATCACCAGCAGCATAGAGGTAGAGGCGGCGCTGGTAGCGGGGCGTGGCATGGCAGCCGGATGCCTGGCAGACCGCTACAAGGGCAGCCAGCGAGTGGCGTTGAGTGTTTGAGACAGGAAATGACAATTCAAATTAAAGACAACGGCTCACCCAAAATACAAAAACCAAAAAAACGAGATGAAGCCAAAGACTGTGGCGAAACGATGTGTAAATGGTTGGGGCGGGGCAGAGGTAGAGGCAGAGGTAGGAGCAGGAGCAGGAGCAGCAGCAGAGCCACTGAGGCAATTGGAGTTGCAGGAACTGCCTACGTACGTTTCGCAATGCCACTTAACATGAAATTAATTATGAAAGTTTTGTACAACATTTTGTTGAACGAGTTGAGGAAACCTTCAATGCTGCCGACGTCGCTGCCAGCAGCAGCAGCATCAGCAGCAGTGGCAGCTCCTTTGGCCAAGTGCATTGCGAAAAAAAAAACAAGCCTGGGCATGAGTATGGGAAAATTAAGTGTACGCCACGTAAGCCGCAAGTCTGTTGCGGATGCCCAACAGAGGCGGGAGAAAAGCATGTGTGTGTGTGCGTAAGTGTGTATGTGTGTGTGTGCTTGTGGCCACAGCAAACAGCAGACGCAGCAGCGCTAAGCATGGCTGTTACGTTGCTGTTGCTGTTGTTGTTTAAATGTCGCCTCCGGAAAGGAGCAAAAGGAAGAAAGGCAACAGCAACAGCAACAACAACAACAGCGAGTTGTCACCCAAAGAGGAAGGGTGCTGCAATTAGAAACGCACAGCGCAGCAAGCAGCGCTGCCAGCAGTCAGCAGCAGCAGCAGCAGCAGCAACCGGAAATATGCCCAAAAAAGTAGGCAACAACTTTTTTACAGCGCAAACTTTTACTGCTGCCGCTGTCGCAGCGGGCGGCGCAGTCGACGTCGACGACTGTGAGTTGTAAGTTGTTTTACTTGAAATTTTTAATTATGATTTAATGTTAAAATACGGAAATAATTTGCGGCAAACAACTTTCGTCGTCATCGACGAAGCCTCGCAACGCTTCAGCAACTTTATTCCAGTTGCCAGCAACATTGCAACTGTGTGCGTGTGTGTGCGCGTGTGAGTAAAATGATTGACGACTGTGCAAGCAACTCATTATGCAACAAATCAAATGAATTCCTAATTAAACAACCAACCTTACACAGCTTAGATATCTTTTTTGGTTAAATCAAATTTCGATGGCGCCAATTAATAACTAATAACTAATAACATATAGCTAAGAATATATATACATATATTACTATTGTATAATTTATACATTATTATTCAGTATGAAAATTCTTTTAATAAACAGAAAAATTAATAATAATTATATTATAAATAATGTTCATGTAAAATTATCTAGATTAATCAAATTTCTTCTCGTAGTTTCTCTGGATTTTGTACATTTTACGTATTACTTTTCTTCTTCTTGATAATTTTAGCATTTGTAATCGAATGTGTTCTTAATTTTTAGACATTAAAAGAATCCACATATGTATATATAGTTATATTAATATGTATGAAGCTATAAATCACAGTAAATTTTATATTTAATATTCATTATGAGCTAACTGCGCTGATTTATTTCTTATTTTATTGTTTACAATTTGCCTCTATGCTATTTTTATTATTTTTATAAAAATGCTAAGCACACATTTTATGATTTGAATTTGAGCTTTTTGTAGCTTGTTGTTAATTTGTATATAGGGTACGATAAAGTCGTTCACACTCCAATTGTTTTATTGACGTACAATGCGAACTCAAATGCAGAAGATTTTGTGTTATTGCAGCTTTGATTAAAATGTGTCGGGCTTTGTCAACGTTGCGGCTATAGCACATATCTTCAGACATTCCATCACACACACGCACGCACACACGCACACCCATGTGTGTGTGTGTATATGACAAGCTGTTTAGTATGCAGGTTGCCTGCTCATCGTAAAATCGCATTTATATGTTGTTTATTCTTCGCATAAACAATATGTACAATGTGAATGAATTACCACACACACACATCAACCACACCCACACTCACACACACAATGTTTACTTTATAGTGGCAGCATTTGGTTTTTCTCTTTTGGTTTGTTTGCTTTCGCTTTTTTAACAACATTTTCATGCACTTTTATTACATTTCCTCGATGAAATTTTATTGTTCTGCCACAAGAGAAGCAACAAAATTTATACAAATTGTATACAAATATTTTGATACATGAGCTCCATAGCAGACAACAAAAAATGAAGAAGCATACCCAAAAATATAATAAAATGTAAGCGAGTCAAAATGACAAAATGTTTCATATTTGCTTTGGCTTGACTTGCTGTCAACACGTTTCGCCTTACGGCAAGTCGATTGTTTGCTCAAGGATAAATTCATTCAAATTGCTCGGGGCAAAACACAAAGCATTTCAATTTCGAAAAGCATTTCAATTTCTATACGAGTATACAATTAGCTGAATCTATTAGAGTTTATAATTGAAAATTGAACATAGTCATATTACAATATTCCTCTAGATATTTCTTGTGGAAGTATGGTAGATTGTAAATTGATATTTGTTTTAGAGAAATTATCTTAGTTTTTCTTATGTATATACTTGTACATGTCTTCTTTGATTATGAATCTATAACTATGAATCTATGAATCGATGAATCTATGAATCAATGAATCGATGAATCTATGAATCGATGAATCGATGAATCGATGAAAGAGTGAATCTATGAATCGATGAATATATGAATATATGAAAGTGTATATCTATGAATCTATTAATTTCTGAATCTATGAGTCTATAAATCTATGAATCTATGATTCAATGAATCGATGAATCTATAAATCTATGAGTCGATGAATCTATGAAAGAGTGAATTTATGAATCGATGAATCTACATAGGAATCTATGAAAGCGTGTATCTATGAATCTATTAATTTCTGAATCTATGAATCTATAAATCTATGAATCTATGATTCTACTAATTTATTACATACGATACATGTATATATGGGATCGAAAAATATCTATTCTCATGCAAATGTACGAATGTACTTATACGAATGTGTGTATCTCTTCTTCATCGAAGCTATTCATATATCCGTATTTTACATCATCCATAAATTCAACATTCTATCCAACAATCTATTCATGAACCAATGTGTATCTCCTTGCATATGATTCATTCCATGCTTTAAGCTTTGAGCTGTCATTAAATATCGCCTGACACGTTTTCTTTCTTGTTTCAAACTCTCTTTCATTATGCTGCTTACATATAAAATACATATAAATATATGTATACAGACCCACATTCACAGCATTTCTTGCTTAACTTTTCAACTGCTCATTCCACTAAATTTTCCGGGTACAGCTCCGTATTAAAAATTAATCAAATTATTAAAGTGTCAGAACGATACGCCCATTCCTCAATATAAATAACAAAAAAAAATATAAACTTTTATTTTCGCAGAAACAAAATTATTTGCTGTGTTTGTCACAAAAGTTGAGCGCTGTGAGAAGGGACAAATTGTTTTTCGAAATTCAAGTGGACACAGAACAAGGGTAAAAGTTGTGCGAAACTTCGATCTTCTGGCCAAAATGTATACAAACAGACAAACGTACATATCTATATATATCTATATATTTATTGTATGTATGTATATATTGAAATGGTGGTAAATACTCACAGTGTTTGCTCTTCTCGGCGGCCACTTGGCTCTGCGGCGTTTGGGCCACAATGGCAAAGAGCAGTAGGAGCATTAGAAGCCATTTGGGAATGCCCGTGGCTGTTGCCCATCCCGTTCCCATTCCCATTCCCGTTGCTGTTATCGGGCTGGCTGGGCTGGCTTGGGTCGTTACCAGCTTACGTTGTTGATTGCGTGTGTGCCCGTTCGCTAAGCTTGGGTCAACGGCGTATGCGACCGCTGGCGGACCGGGGCCACACGACGTTGGCATCAGCAGCATTGTCTGTTGTCTCAATTTTCACGATTTTCACAAATTTCACTGCAGCTGCTGCAGCTGGACAAAGTGTTTGCTGTTGTTATTGTTCCTCCTGTTGTTGCTGTTGTTGTTGTTATTGTTTTTGTTGATGCTGATCTGGCAAGCGTTATTCCTTTTATTCTGCTCGTATTTGTGCGGGCAAACGTCTCGCAATTAAAAGCATTCATTTATGAGTTTCCCCGCTGCGCAATGTTTTAATGCTCAGCCAAGTGCTCGCTCACACATTTCTCGCCCGTTTCCGTATTAATTGTCAGTTGCTGCATTTATCACGAAGCCTGCAAAGCGAAAAACAACGGGAAAATTCACAGCAATTAGAAATGCCATTCTCCAATAGCGAAACACTGAAAATGTATTCGAAAATGTCACTTCAATAACTTATGTACGACTGACTGAGCTTGTGAACACTTTCCATTACTTTTCAGGCCCATCTCTGGCTTCTGATGGCAAAAGTAATCTTAGCATATCAATTTTAAGAGCTTTCGAATAGGGTTACACTTCAAATGCCTTGCATATAGTACTCAGATGGAAATAGAAGTAAAGAGTTATATATATAATGTTTCATATATGTACATACATAGGATATATGTGAGGCTTCTTAGCAATTATTATAATCTATATATATATCTATATAATAATATCAATTACTTTATGTATGTTCTAATTTTCTTTTTTTAGAATTAAAACTTTATTCCTCTCTCTCACTCTCCCCCTCCCTCTCTTATATCTAAAGCATATTCCATTCCTTTCATTATTCACAATTAAATATCTTGTTCTCTTTCTTCATCTCACATCATGACAGCTCTTGATTATTTGTTTCACAAGATGCCACAAAGATATTATGCTATTTAGAATTGAATACAAATTTGTTCTCATTTTCCATTTTCCACTTCTTTGTGTTTCCCGCTCGCTGGCTCTTGAGCTATGAAATTCAAATCAAAGCAAAGTTTGTTCGCAAGAATTTCACAGTCAAATACCAAATTTCTCTTAGCTCTGCGCAGTCACAGCAAAGATCAAGGATATTCACAGTTATTAAGCTATTCATATTATATGTATAATATATCTAATCTCCATATCTCTACGTCTATCTCGCGTCGGCTCTTTATGCTTTTTCATAAGAATCCACAGATATCAAATCACACTCCCTCTCTCTCTCACTCTTCTTCTCATTCTCTCCGCGAGGCTAGCGATTCATAAGTATCATACGAATCGAAAAATCGATGCATAAAATTATTCAAATGCCAGCGGCCATTCCGGCCATCCAGGGCGTGCCTGGAGCAACGGGTCGTATGCGCATTTAAAAGCAAATGAGATATTACGTATACGCAGCGCTGCCTACATAGTTTTTATTGCGAAGCTGGCCAATAGACGAGCGCCTGTGCGTTTGAGGTAATAACAAGTCTCAACTGCATGACTGGGTAATAAGAAACTAGCGTTGATTTTAAAGAGCCTCCGTCCGCTCTCAGCCCAGCTGCAGCCATAAAATAATTTCTTTAGCAGAGCCGGGAGGAGGCCGACGGCGGAGGGGGGAGAAGGAGGTGGAACATGCTGCAGGCCGAGCGCTACGGGAGAGCTGGTTGGCATAGCTGCGCCTTTGTGCCATCAAAAGTTTATCACATTAGAAATCAACGGCAGCCCCGAGCAGACCGGGTCGCTGGCGGGGCGTGCACCTCGAGCCCCTCCTCACACCACGTCGCATGCCCACTCACTTCATTCTTGTGCCACATAAAAGGCAAAATAATAATGAGAAGCCAGAAGCAGCAGCAAGAGAATCGGGAACAGAAGCAGCAGCCGTAGAAAAAAAATTATCACACATATTTTGTTGTGCTTTATTTGCTTGCAGCACACAGTTTCCTTTCCCTCTTACCCTCCCTCTCTCTCTCTCTCTCAGCATTTCGCACCCCATCTCTTTCCCACTCTATTGCTGGACCATTCATGGCTCGGACTTTAGATGTGTCACATACACGCTCACTGTTTGTTATCCTTCGAGCGTTCCAATTCCGCCTTTAATTAAATTTGATTATAGTTTTTTTTTTCACTCCCTCTCTCTCTCTCTCTCTCTCTCTTTCTACCCGCCAAGCTGACTGCCAAATTTGGCTGCAAGCCTTATTTTCCTAGGCAATTGAATTTGGCTAACGCTTCAGCACAGTTGCCTTGACCAAATTATTGTTATTCTACACTACTTGGCATACTGTGGCAGCCTAATTCGAATAAAAAAAATTATATATATATTCCAAGTATCACTTGAAAAATATGAAATGTTCTATTTATGAAATGTGTAGAAATTCAACAGAGAATGAGATTCAAGTAAGAAACATAAAACTATATGTTTTATGTAAAGAACTGAACTAAATCTCAATAATAATAAGCTGAGTGGCCGCCAGATAAGGTGTAGGTCTCTTTTAAATCATCTGAATGTATTACAACGTATTATGAATCGCTTACTACAGCTGAGCGAATGAAGAATTAGATCATTGTTAAATTGAAAGGAAAATCATGCCAGTGGCTAATGGCATAGGGAGGATCTCATAAAAAATGGCAGTCTCTTTCGTGCAGAATCAGATTTACATATAACATATTAATTCATATTCATATGCGAACATAACTAGCACTAGATCTCGCTGTGAGCAAGATACTTCGGTTCACTTCGTTTTTGTTTTCTGTTGAGCGCCTTGAGTTGACCTTGAGTTGACCCATTCGTATTTAACGAACTCGTTGAGAGACCCAGAATTATTTATGAGAATTATTTATATGATATATGACATATATCATTGATCGTCGCTCATTCGTTTTAAAGGACTACTTTCCGCCAATATAAAAATCCCTATTCTTCTACAAATTATGTATTACATCTCTATTGTCATGGTCTGCCACGAAGTTTGATTAGAGAATAGATGACATAGAGTGTGTCTCTCATGGCGCCATTATCGATCATATGAATTACAGAATTATAGAATCGCAGAATAGCACGTAATACTCAACTCATTAACATAAAAGAGATCACTAATGGCACGCCTGCCCATGTTGACCCCCTAAGCTGCATTCTTATCTCTTGTAGACTGCATCTAAATTACTTAATATAGTGATTTCACTACGTAGTTACAGCTGCTCATAATTCTATTTCGCATTCCCTTATCAGCTTATCTCATTGCCAATCAGCAACTAAATCAAGGCTCAGCCGAGTTCACTTAACGAACCACAAACAATTTTCTAGCTGTTGATAAGATCTCAGCTGGAATGCGTTACACATATAGTATTTAGTATTGGCCATGAGTTTATTGGCCTCGGGCAAGTGCATAAAAGTAAACAGAAAGCAATTTTCATTAGGGATAATTAGAGTTAATGATTGAGGCTAAGTGAAACAAAGTAAGAGCTAACGTTTAAATACCAAATTTCACTCAGCGGCTAAAATGTGTATTAGGTATCAGATTGAGCTTTGTTGTGTTGCTGCTGTTGCTATAGTTGTACCTGTTGTTGTTGCTGTTGTTGTTGCATTTGCAGCCATGGCAACCAATTTGCTTGGCGTGGTCAATGGATATTGTTCGCTGTAGTTTTCACAGCTCTTTTGGCCATTTCATACTAATGAGTGTAAATTGAAGTTGCAGTCAGGTAAAAAGTATATAAGCTCCAGCATCGAACATGGGAACATGGAACATAGTCTCTCAGCCAACAGTGGACCGAAGCTGGCCGATTGTCAGTTGGTTCGCTTGGCGCCTAAAAGAGCGTAAAATGTAATTGTTGTTATATCACTCCGATCTGATGTGGCTGATGGACTGCGACTACGACTGCGACTGGGACTGGGACTGGGACAGGGCCTGCAGCTGGGGGAAGCCGCATAAATTACAAAACACCGACAGCCGACATCAACCAAAAACAGGAACAAAGGCCCAAAAGCAACAACGCGTCTAAAGCGGCTTTAGCCAGGCGAAACAAACAAAACTAACAATAGCAACAACAAAAACAACTGACATGTGTGTGTGTGTGTGTGCTAGGTGCGTAGAACATGGCACACAAAATGGAAACACACAATAGCTAAACGAACAAAGCAAAAAAAAAAAAAAAAAATAAAAAACAAATACGAAGAAGAAATTGTAGAGTAGCAAACAATTAATGGCCCTGTGGGGTTTCATCGGGCCATCGCTTTAGAGTTTCATTCCTGTTTGTTATTTAGGTCTCCATATATGCACGCTACATATATATTTATATGTACGATTGCTAGTGGTAAACTGATATTATTTATGATGCGCCATATATACACGTGAAAACATGTGTAAGTTCTAAAGCCTATTAAAACATAATTGGAATACCTGTAAGCGTGCGTACTTCAGTTTAGTTTATGAGAATGGTAGAGAAGGGCATAGCACACAAATACATTTTCATTATTGTTGTATTATATGTTTATTTAGCTATCAGGCCTAAATTGATGAATCCAAAGTAAATATTTATACAAACAAATATGTAAAATATAATACATACATAATTTAAATAATATAGAATGTTTTTTTCCCCTTTTATTGATATTAAGAATAGAAGGGGCTACATTTACTATTTTCATGAACAGCTAGATTTAATTAAGTCTTCATTTTCAAGATTAGATTAATCTCGATATTTGATTCAAATTGATTTAACAAAATACTTTTATTGTCACCGCCAGCAGTATAAGCTTTAGAAATTTGATATAAGCTTGGACATATTTTAAAATATTTTTAAATTCTACTGAATAAGGCTTTCGAAGGGATATCGAGCTCTATAAAATTGTATAAAGTGATGAACGATTAATTAAAATTTCTGATATTGAAAGCCTTTCTGAATAGACATTATTATACTAATAAAAGGAATAAAAACATATGTTAATGTGGGAAATATACATATAAGAATTTCCATTTCCAACATTAAAAAAAAAAAAAAAACATATTTCAAAAAGTATTATCGGCTGATAGATTACTGCCATTAAGTATTAACAATTCATGGTCCCATTGTAATGCATTAGCACAAATACTCAACATAAGAAAGGCCCATAAAAAGTACCTTGAAAAACCATGTCATATA